TGTTCCTGTTAACTCTTGCCGAAATAGTAGTGGTCAGACTGTGTAGACTTGTGAAGTAGAGACCTTCTGAATTGCTTTTGTTGTTAACAGATGCTGTGACCTTGGGCAGTTTGCTTGACCTCTCCATGCTTCAATCTCTGTTCCTTAGAATAGTAAGAGTAGCTGTACCATTTAAAAAATAATTGTTGTGAGCTATAAATTTAACAGGATAATTAATGCAAAATACTTCAGATAGGACCTGGGAAATAGTATGTTCTCAAAAGAAGTTCAGTGTAATTCATTTCTAATGGAATACTGTGTTCTTATGTGTGTAGTCTTTCTTCAGAATATGCCACTGTGAGCTGTAGGACCTTGACTTCACAGCAGCTCTAGTCAACACAGAAAGCATGCTGTATAGAAATTAGAACGTGAATAGCGGGTACAAGTCATCTGTTACGGTTTTAAATAATTGTTAATATCTCCCACTTCCTATGAACTGGAGAACTCATTTTATACAAAGGAGTCCGTTCTTGGATGTTTTCCAGTTATGCTCTAAATTGTACTTTTAATTACTTTTTTTTTTTTTAAATAACACGTAAAGTTTATTAGATGACAGCATACACAGGAAACACAATTAGTCAAGGAGCCTACTATCCGTTCCCAAAGGGATCATCCTAAGAACTGAGACCCAAGAGGCGAACCCCGGCAGAGGCCTGGTTTGCCGCCATGTCGCTCGCGGCTAAAAGGGCTGCCTGCAGCGGGCTGGGGCCCCAGTTATGCGCGAACTCATGCTCTTGCGCAGCAGCGTAACCCCCTAATTACTTTTATTGTGCCCTGCTTCTTTCGGTTTGTATTTTCCTCCAGAGCTGTGAGGTAGTGTACATGACCCCTCTTCACATTACCTTCTGAGCACAGGCTTGTTTGTGCCAACAATTGTGAATGAAGTGGGTGGTAAAATAGGCCTGGTATTATTGGAATTTGTGGACCTTACCAAAGGGGACACCAACCCGGAGGATCACCTTCTCACCTCTCATGTTTACGTCTGTAAATACACTGCCACAGCAATTAACAACTCCCACTCACACACACACAAAAAAACACCCAGCAGAAATAAAATCCTGGAGCGTTAAACACAGCCCCCTAGACCTAGAGGAAGGAGGCCTTTACCTGGTTTTATGTATTCCTTCGTCTTAAGAGATGAATTGCTAGTCTACTCTGAAAGCAAACCCAGCAACACCTCTCTAGGACATTCTTGGGGTTCACCATGCCAGTTTTTGGAGGAGAAGGTGAAGGCAGAGATATACTGACTTCGGACAGTGCTCTGCCCACCATCTCCATTGGGGTCTCGAGGCTACTACTGTCTTGTGCTCCCCACTGCTTCTCTAGGCTGCAGCTCACAACACTGATAGCTATTCAGACCCCAGCAAGAGCAGCTCAAATCAGTGGATTAGCTCTTGATGACAAAAAAAAAAAAAAAATTTAAAAAGCCCCACTTTGAAAACTACAAGATTTGAATGAATTTAAAAAAAAAAAACATCCCTTTGGTTTTCATTTGTAATCTTCAACCGAGAATCTCAAGTGCCCATGCTTGAGGAGATTCACTGCTGGAGTCCCCTCCTGGCCCAGGCCGGCAGGGCAACCTGGCATCACAGAAGAAGACCGTTCTCACATGTTAACAGTGTCCAGAGCCAGGAATCCAGCTGGGTGCCTGTTGTCTACTTGTATCCTTTCTTCCTCATTCTGGAAAAATTCCTGAAGCTATGTTCAAATTATTTCAAAATGTTAACACCAAACAATTCCTTTTTTATACCTACAGTATGATTTTCCAAACTATTATGTTTATAACTCCCACCAGTTGACAATGTTGTTGTTGTTGTTGTGTACTGATGAGTTATAACCAAACCATAGCTGAGCCTCCAGCGAGTGTTCAGAGGTAGTAAATCACACATGAGAGTGCCCGTCCTTCTCCTGCAGAGCGGCTGGTAGATTTGAACCAAATGCCTTAGGGTTGGCAGCATAATTTCTTACCACTAAACCACGGTATCTCCCTAGTAGCTGGGGTGGTGGTGTTGTTGTGTGCCATCAAGTCAGAACTGACCCATAGTTGATTCTCCAGTAGGTTTTCAGAGGCAGTCAGTCATAGGGGAGGAGATTGTCCATCCTTCTCCCATGGAAGAGGGAGTGGATTCGAACCACATTCAGAGCTATGCAGTGTGAGGGGGGTGTGACCCACACATCAGAATTAATAACTTGCTAATGATTTAAATAAAGTAAATGGTATCGTTCGGGTGAGAATATGCAAATCAAATGTATAGCATGCTAGCAAGGGGAATAGTGAGTTTTATCATTGTGACAGGCTGAATGTGAGTTATCAGAAATATATTATTGAGATGATCTCTAAATCAAGCTAAGATATACTCAAAGTCAGACTTTGACTGTTGTAAACTTACTTTTCATTTTCTTCAGCATCAGTTTGAACTGAAATACATGAGTATTTGTTCTGTTGCACAGTTAGTCCCTCCTTTTGTTATAACTCCTGTTATTGAGCTTTTCCACCATCTCTTCCCACAGATTTAGTCAGTTTGATTACTGTCAGTTTGATTTAGTCAGTTTGATTACTAAGATAAGGTCTATGTATAGAGTCAGAGTATATGGATTTTTAAAAAAATAGTTATGGTGACTAAATCACTGGTCTTAAATGCAATCTACATTCTCCAATCCTGCAATCCCCAACCTGATTTTTATTATCAATGCCTTGTTTTCCAACTACCAATCATTCTTCTTTGTTTCCAACTTGTACATTACAATGACTAATTATTATTCATGGTATTAATGCATTGTGATTGCATATTTGAGTGATCCATTTCAGAATGCAGAAATTTGTAGGAATCCTGCATTTCTTCATGTTTAGCTTTAGAGATTGGTGCGTAAATTTTAATAATAGTTGTAATAACAAGTATTCCTTGAAGTATGTGTTTGAATAACATCCTATCATTTTCTGCATATCACACACAAGGAAATGATTGCCGAAAATAATTTAGATATTTCCAGAACCTCCCTCAACAGAGAACTTCTCAAGTTAAGCTGGAACTGGTAGCTGGATATGAAGAACATTGTTGATAATGGCAGATGGATCTTAGCTGAAAGCAGAGTATACCAAAAAGATGTTTACTTTTGTTTTATTGGCTATGCAAAAGCAACTGTGTGAATCATAATAAATTATGGATGACATGAAGAAGAATAGAAATTATACCTGAAGCACTTACTGAAGAAGAACAAAAAAAACACCAAAAGTTCTCACCAGTGGACCCATAGGCAATATCATGATAGAGGGAGAAAAGATTACATTGTCAAGGATATCATTTTATTTACATACACAGTTAACCCTCATGATAGCAGCAGTCAAGAAATCTTAAAAAAACGAGGCAAAGCATGCTTCACTAGGGAAATCTATTGTCAAGAACTTCTCCAAAGAGCTAAGGAGCAAGGATGTCAATTTAAAAACTAGGGTGCGCCTGATCCAAGCTATGGTATTTTCAATTTTCATGCATATCTGAAAGTGGGAAAATGAATAAGGATGACTAAAGAAGAACCAATGCCTTTGAATGATAGTGTTGGAGACGAGCACTGACTATCCTGTGGACTTCCAAAAGAGCAAATAAGTCTGTCTTGGAGGAAGTGCAACCAGAGAACTCCGAGAGGCAAGGATGGTGAAACTTCATCTCACATACTTTGTGCATGTTGTCAGGAGGGTCCAATCTTTGGGAAAACCACATCATTCTGGGAAGGGTGGAGGGATCAGAGAAAGAGAGGAAGGTCTTCAATGAGATGGAGCAATAGAGTGACTTGCGGCAATGAGTTTGAGCATGGTGAACATCATGAGAATGGCACAGGATGGGACCAAGTTCTCATCTGGTACACATTGAGTTGCTATGAGTTGCATTTGAAAACAACTACTCAAAACTCATTCCTAGTCAATACTGTTGAATCAAAACCGACTCATAGCTGCCCTTCCAGCAGGTTTTTGGGAGACTGTAAATTTCACAGGAGAAGATTGAGTGATTTTTCTCCTGTAGTGCTACTTGTGGATTCCAGTCAGCATCGAGGTGCTACCTTGGGCTAACAGCAGCTCCCTACAAACCACACGCCCAAAGCTCCCTGAATCATACAGTTCTGCTCAGTTTTGGTCCTAGCATGTGCCCTGAATGGTTTTATGTCAGGTACCTCTCCATGTGTCTGAAGTTATATTTCTGTAATTTACTTGTATTTCTACTTGTCTTACATCAATATATACTATAACAGGGAAGCCTGCATGGGAATAAATTAGTTTGCTTTGTGGTGTCAGTTTTGTTGGAGGTTTTTTAACTCTGGAAGAAGAAATGATATTGTAGAACTGGCTGCTGATTTCCCATCTTTTTTCCCCTATAATCCATAAAAAATCACTTTTTAATATTGAAATTCCAAAAGCTAAGTAAGAAGATACCTGATAATGTCTGGCCAGAAATTTATATGTTCTGTGAAAGGAATTACAACTGCTTAAAACTCTTAACTTCTCTTTCACTTTAGAAAGTCAAGGGAGTGGGGAAATAGATTAATTTGACAGATAGCACAGAATAAGAAAAATACTAGGAACAAGAAAAGGCCATTTTTCCTATAGAGGCTCATTTCATTCTATATACCATTTCCCTGGCTCTCTGCCAGTTGTTAGCAGAAAGAGTAATACTATCTTTTTTTTTTTATTTCACTCTTGAGTATTATGGAGATAAATAGCTAAATGATAGAGAAACAACTTTCTTTCACGGTAGTAGTTTAAGAGCGATAAAAAGGCTCAGATGAAGATAGGCTTGATGACATGAAAAGAAAAAAATCAACCATGAATGAAAAATACCCTGTTTTAGAGAGTACCTTTTTGCATCAATAGCCACACCCATATATCAAAGTGAGATAATTGCATGTGAGAATCTATATGTTTATTTACAAGCCTCAGAAATGAAAGTTTTACCACTTATGTTTTGTTTCAGGACCCATGCAAGAGACCATCTATGACTTCTGGAGAATGGTGTGGCATGAAAACACTGCAAGCATAATTATGGTGACCAACCTTGTGGAAGTTGGAAGAGTAAGTCAGTCTGTTCTTCATTGCTTAGTTTGTAGTAAAAAGTAAGGCATGAGTCAAATTTTCAGAATATCACCTGTACCCCCTAAAGCATTAACTACTCCAGCTCCTCCCCTGTTGTTTGTTGCACTTGCTTATAAATTATGAGTAAATGTAGACTCAGTTGTTCCCATTTGTTGTGATAGCAACAGACTGGAGAGGTACTCAAGGTTTAAAAGCAGTTGTTACCTATGTTGAGCACACAAAAATACCTCTATCCTTAAATGCTTGTTGAGTGTCAGAACTCATTGGGTGCTGCCTTGGATGTGGCTACTACATTCCTTAATTTTCAACACTGAAAATATCATGCATCACTATAATCAACCATTAAATTCCAGCAACTTCTTCATCTTGTTTTTTACTTTCCTATGCCTCAGTTTCCAAAACTGTTTTATCATTTAACCTGTATAAATTGTTTATCAGTGTTCTTTCCTGTTACCCATGAAACTTACATTTTTATACTCTCAGTGATGGAATGCTGTAGAATTATTTCCAAAATGAAATGTTCCGGTAAGAAAAGACATCAAGTACAGTTGCTTTCTTTTCTCTTAGGCTCAGTTTTCATGCTTATGTTCAGAAGGATGAGCGGGTGCAGGGAGAAGTGGGGCATTGATGATGGAGTTATACAGTTTGATGGGTGGAGGGATGAGGGAGATTGGAAGAATCTGTTCTGGAAAACAATGTATTCTAATTTTGTAAATTAAGTAGTATAATAAAAAAAGCAGAATCCATTTCTACTTAGGGAAGTTAGCATTGAATTATTTACTGTAAGCAAAGCCAACTTAAAAAGTGGACTAGAATTTTAAATATTGAGGGAGAAACCATAAGTTAGTTTTTCTTAGCATTCCAGGAAAATATCAAGGCACAAACCACAAAGGAAAGCAAGTAAGAGGTGGAAGGTTCTGGCAAATGGCTAGGGGGAAAATAATTGGAAACTTTTCCTCTACAAACATCTATAAATTTTCTCTAAAGTCTAGTTATACATTTCGTTATGTTATATATAGTACCACAACCTCTTCCAAACCCAGCCTGTACTTCAAGCAGTTCTCTGTTGATATGCTGTTTCAGTCATTTTTGGATAATTTTCAGCAGAATCTTCCTTGCATGTGATATAAATTATATTATTTGATAATTTCCACACTCTGGTCACTTTTCTTTGGGATGGGAACAAATATGGATCTCTTCTAGTCAGTGGCCAAGTGATTGTCCTCCAGATTTCTTGGAACAACTTGGTGAGCACGTCCAGGGCAGCATTAATTTGTTGAAATATGTCAGTTGGTATGTTCTCAATTCATTGTCAGTTTTTTCAGAGCAGCTTGAACTTCTTCCTTCATCACCATAGGTTCTTGCTCATACATTGTTTCATGAAATTCTACTGTGTTCGCCAATTCCTTTTGATACAGTGACTCTGTATACTCTTCCCAACTTCTCTTAATGCTTCCTGGATCATTTTATATTCTACCCAGAGCATCCTTAAGTATTACAACTCCAGGCTTGAATTTGTTCTTCAGTTCCTTTGGTTTAAGAAATGCTGAGCAAGTTCGGCCCTTTTGATTTTCTGACTCCAGCTCTTTGTACATTGCATTATATTTTACTTTGACTTCTTGTGCTGCCTTTTGAATTAATCTTTTCAGCTCCTTAATTCCTTGATTTTTCCCCCTTTGCTATAGCTTCTCAGTGCTCTAGTACAATATTCAGAGTCCATGGTACTAGGGATATTACACCTAATGTTAAATAGATCTTAGCTGAAACTAGAGAGTACCAGAGGAATGTCTATTTCCTTGGCCATGAAAAGGCATTTGACTGTTTGGATCACAACAAACTGTGGCTAAATCTGAGAAGAATAGGAATCTCAGAACATCTGATAGTGCTTTTGTGGAACCTGTACTTAGACCAGGGGCCAGTCATCAGAACAGAGCAAGGAAACACCTCATGGTTCAAAATTGGGAAGGGTATATGCCAGAGATATGTCCTATCTTCATACCTTTTCAATCCTTATACAAAAGAGATTCTCCAGGAGGCTGGGTTAAATGAGGAGATATGTGGCATCAGGATTGGAAGAAGACTCATCAGCAATCTGCACTATGCAGATGCCAGAACCCTGCTTGCTGAAACTGAGGGGGACCTGAAGTGCTTGCTACAGACGGTCAAGGACTATACAGCCTTAAATATGGAGTGAAACTCAACATCAAGAAAACAGATTCTCGTGTTGTTCCTAGCTTTTCTGTAATGAAGTTTATAGTCCTTGGTTTTAGTCCTAGGTCCATGATCCACCTTGAGTTGTTTTTTGTGTATGGAGTGAGGTGTGGGTCTTCCGTGAGTCTTTTGCAGATATTTTTCCAATTTTGCCA